GCTCCAGAATTTATTTGTCACATTTTTATTTAAAACATTGTTTTTAGCTATTCACTGTATCTGTCTATATAAGCCTTATTTTGTACACAAAATTCCCGCGATACTTGTTGTGAGGTCGATCGCAAACCTGTGTTGAGTCAAAGAGTATATAAGAAGAGAGTCCACTGCTATCAATCCACGTGGGTCAGCGTGATGCCCGATCCGCTGTATAGGGAAAACTCCCCTAGCGTCTGTTGTTGATGCATGAGTTGCGCTGAGTGATGGCAGCATATAAATACAGTAATTTAAGACCTACCTCTATTTGAAAAAGAGTTCATAAAGTCAAATTATTATATCCGTTTTTCAACGAAATATAAAGGCAAGACTTTATAAGAATAACATTATTGGAAAATATGCTATGTAGGCCTTATTGTGGGTTTTTAGAAAGTTTGCTTTAAATCACAACAGTGTTTCGAATGTTGATAAATAATAAATGAAAATAAATAGCCTGCTGGGAGTTTATAAGAAAAATATATTTAATAGGCCTCACTATACTAGAACTATTCATTATAAACAATCATCCATCCATGCATTGGTATTCGATATTATATGTAATTCTTATTAAATGAGAATATATAGTAATGATGTGTTTGTTTTGACTATGACTATGTTCTCCAGGCGGGTCTGGTATGTAAATATAACGTTTTCTCTTCAGTCAAACAAATTAGTGCATACAACAGTAGTAAAAAAATAGTCGGAAACACCAAAGTAACTTTCAAATTGTACTTTATTTAGTATTTTCCACACGAACTTCAAATACTTTCACAAGCAAATGAGAGTTAGCAAATGAACATAGTAATCCTTAATATTAATCCTTCATTAACAATAAAAGCTTGTTCAATCTTCTAATTATATAGCAGGAGTTAGTTTCGACGTAGGCAAACCTTGCTAAAAGGGTATAGGATGGCCTACCGTACATTCTCATCAAAAGTCTTTTCCTATGAATGGAATGACCTGTTCAAAGCAGGGGCGGCTCTATGATGTAATTTATGGGGGGTGGGGGTTAAGATGTCCGACTGTGGGGGGAGCTAAGTATTTATGGGGGACAAGTATTTAGGAGTCACTATAGCGAGTAGCGTTATCTGAGGCCCTACGGTACTGGGATGGGAACTAGGCCTATTATTTTTTTGTCCGACTACCCGACAAGCTTTGGCCGATGGCTTGACCAGACCGATGGAGGACATTAAGCATCCCCTTACCCATCCCCCATCCCCACTGGCGCCGCCCCTGGTTCAAAGCACGAACTCCTGTAGACCAAACCCAGTACCCGGACGATTTAATCGTGCAGGAAATCCTCACGCAGACGTTTATCAACAACAGTTTGTAGAGGGTGTTCTGTCGTTCTGAACGCATTTTCAGTCTGAGTGGACTCTCTTCTGTTATATGCTCTTTGGTTGAGTCGATACACTGTACAGTACGAGTCATGCATAATTTGCTGATGACGAGTACTTATTGTGATGAATATTTATACCATGTTACTCGTGGCTGCTGGATTAGTCTTTTGTTTCCTGTAGTGTCTCCTCTAGTGTCAAATTTCACCCCGCTCGCTGGAGGGCGATTGTTCCATCAATTTTAATGCAAATACGCACAAAGTCCACTGCTATTCTTAATGCACGCGAGTCAGCGTGACGCCCGATCCGCTGTATGGGGAAAACGCCCCTAGCGTCTGTTGTGGATGCTGCATGACAAAGATCTTATAAACACAAGATAGAATTCTCCGTGATTTACGCGTGCAAATTCTGTATAATCATAGAGCTATTAAACAACTAGAGTGCTGACAAGATGGTGAAGCAATGCATGTATGTGTACCATCCAAGATTCAGGCTCAGTATACATATTTTTACATATTAATAAGCCCTCTGACTGACTATTATTTCATTAATGATTATGAGTAATGGTGTAATAACAAATTATTAAACTATCCTAGCCAAAACGAGGCCAAGTGCAGCAACTTATTTAAAAATAAAGTACCATGGAATGAAAATGAAAATCGTGTACATTACACCAATACACCGCAACGCTCGAGTTTCAAACATACGGGTAACTAGCTGTGCTGAACTTTTTGTGTAAATTGAGGGCGCAATTGCAAATGATGGCGCTTAGGCGAAATTTGATTGGCTAAATGTATGGCAGCCATATTGGATGGTACACCCACACAGCTCTGCGTATTTCGAACATCGAATACATTGCAGTTAGCGCTCTAGTATTCTTATTTTAGATATGCGACGACGAGTAATCAAAGAGTATAAATAGAACAAGAGAGCAAAGTCCCGTTCGTAAAAACGTCATGCCTGTGTAGGACGCCAACTAACGGTTGTATATTCTTTTTATTACCCAGTGCAGCGCTGCGCAGCGCGGTAGAAGTACGCCCGCTATAAACTCAGTAAGCAGAAA